AATCTACATAATCACTTTCTTGTCACTGTATATGCCATCTACGGAATCACTTTCTTGTTACTGTAAATGCCATCTACAGAATCACTTTCTTCTCACTGTACGTGCCATCCACAGAATCACTTTCTTGTCACAATAAATGCCATCTACAGAATCACGTTCTTGTCACTGTATATGTCATCTATAGAATCAATTTCTTGTCGCTGTATATGCCATCTACAGAATCACTTTCTTATCACTGTATATGTCATATATAGAATCACTTTCTTGTCACTGAAAATTCCATCTACAGAATCACTTTCTTGTCACTGTATATGTCATCTATAGAACGAATTTCTTGTCGCTGTATATGCCATCTACAGAATCACTTTCTTGTCACTGTATATGTCATCTACAGAATCACTTTCTTGTCACTGTACATGCCATCTACAGTATCACTTTCTTGTCACTGTATATGCCATCTACAGAATCACTTTCTTGTCACTGTATATGCCATCTACAGAATCACTTTCTTGTCTCTGTACATGCCATATATAGAATCACATTATTGTCATTGTACATTCCATCTACAGAATCACTTTCTTGTCACTGTACATGCCACCTACATAATTACTTTCTTGTCACTGTACATGCCATATATAGAATCACATTATTGTCATTGTATATGCCATCTATGGAATCACTTTCTTGTCACAGTACATGGCATTTATTCAATCTCTTTCATGTCACTGTATATGCCATCTATAGAAACACCTTTTTGTCACTGTATATGTCATCTACAGAATCACTTTTTTGACAATGTACATGTCATGTATATGATCAATTTCTTGTTACTGTACATGCCATCTACAGAATCACTTTCTTGTCACTGTACATGCCATATATAGAATCACATTATTGTCATTGTATATGCCATCTATAGAATCACTTTCTTGTTACTGCACATGCCATCTATGGAATCACTTTCTTGTCACTGTACATGGCATTTATTGTCATTGTATATGCCATCTATAGATTCACTTTCTTGTTACTGCACATGCCATCTATATAATCACTTTCTTGTCACTGCATATGCCATCTACAGAAACACTTTCCTGTCACTGTACATGTC